TTTTTTTTTTTTTTTTTTTTTTTTTTTTTTTTTTTTTTGGCTGGGCATAGTGACTCATGCCTGTAATCTCAGCACTTTGGGAGGCTGAGCTCAAGATTGCTTGAGCTCAGGAGTTTGAAACTGGCCTAGGCAACATAGCAAAACTCCACCTCTAAAAAAATACAGAGATTAGCCAGGCGTGGTGGCACATACCTGCAGTCCCAGCTACTTGGGAGGCTGATGTGGGAGGATTGCTTGAGCATGAGAGGTTGAGGCTGCAGTGAGCTGTCATCATACCACTGTACTGCAGACTGGGGGACAGAGCAAGACCCTGTCTCAAAAATAAAAATAAAAATAAAAAAATATATATATATGGGTAGTACAGGAAGAAGTAACATTAGAAGTCTGGGTGCAGTGGCTCATGCTTGCAATACCAGCATTTTGGGAGGCTAAGGCAGGCAGATCACCTGAGGTCAGGAGTTCAAGACCAGCCTGGCCAACATGGCAAAATCCCGTCTCTACTAAAATACAAAAAATTAGCCTGTTGTGGTGGCACACACCTGTAATCCCAGCTACTCAGGAGGCTGAGGCAGGGAAATCACTTGAATCCCAGAGGCAGAGGTTTCAGTGAACCGAGACTGCGACACTACGCTCCAGCCTGGGTGACAGAGCAAGACTCTGTCTCAAAAACAAACAAACAAACAAAAAGAGAAAAAAAGAAATAATATTGGATATATATGGACCCAGAAGGTCATGTGTGTGAAGTATTTCGAGTCATCAGAGAAGTACAATTGTAAGCATATAATTTCATTCTTGTTGATACCTCGTCATAATGTATCATCACTCCTAACAGAATGGCCTCAATCATTTGGTGTGTGAGATCTCACACACACACAGTTTTTGTTTTGTTTTGTTCACATGTTTTAGAGACAGGGATGTGCTCTGGCACCCAGACTGGAGTGCAATGGTGCAATTATAGCTTACTGCAGCCTCCAACTCCTGGATTCAAGCAACCCTGCTGCCACAGCCTCCTGAGTAGCTGGACACAGGTGCATGCCACCATATCTGGCTAACTTTTTTAAAATAGAGTTTGCATTTTTATGAGAATTATGTGCACTAGAAGTTATTACAATTCTTGTGTTTATAGGGTACAAACTTGTACCAGTACTATAAACAATGATAATATCTTTTCATGAAGTCACAGCCCAGTATATCAGTTCACACTTTTTTTGAGATGGAATCTCACTCTGCCTCCCAGGCTGGAGTACAATGGCACAATTTTGGCTTACTGCAACCTCCAACTCCTGGATTCAAGCGATTCTCCTGCCTCAGCTTCCCAAGTAGCTGGGATTACAGGCATGCAACACCACACCCGGCTAATTTTTGTATTTTTAGTAGAGACCGTGTTTCACCATGTTAGCCAGGCTGGTCTTGAACTCCTGACCTCAAGTGATCCATCCGCTTCAGCCTCCCAAAGTGCTGGGATTACAGGCGTGAGCCACCACACGCAGCCAATTTTTTTTTTTTCTTGGAGACAGATCTCACTCTGTTGCCCTGGCTGGAATACAGTGGCACCATCACATCTCACTGCAGCCTCAACCTTCCAG